CTCGTAGATTCTCGCAAGCGTGTTAAATTACAGTCAACCCCGTCTCCTCAGCTCTTGCGGCAGCGGAGCGTGGAACGTGTGGTCAAAGCCCCCTTTCCTTCGGCGCAGGAGGGTTTAGCAAGGTCTAGGTGTGCATTCAGGAGCCATGATCAGCGACTGGGGCCGGTCTTCAAGAGTCCGTCAGGCAGTTAATAGTGCCGGCAACAGGCATCGTACTGGTAGTAATCTGACATGTAGTTTGCAAGTCAGTGGTTTGTGATAGCGAGCACCACTGCAAGTGCTGACCCAATCAGCAATGAATCAAAATGCATCGGCTGGGAGGTTCCCCCTGGCTTGCATAGTCTGAACTGAAATCATTGTCTTCCACGTCTGGCCGTTTGATTGGCAGTGTGAAACATGAGTCTTGAAAGTTGTTCTAGGGCCACGTGTAGTGTGAATGTGCAGCCAGGTCACTCGCACAGACGTTTGGCACGATCCGAAGGCTTGTGACGAACCCATGCTTCCAAGCTGCTCCGTGATCGCGGTGTGTTGATGTGGTGGTGGGCAGGAGCCTGCCATCATCTCCGTTGCCAAGTTCTCACCTGAGAATTTTCGGCCCGTCGGGGACCTAAGGTTCGTCACACAGGCACTGAGCACAGTTCGAGGTTGCCCCGAAAGTAGAAGCATTCCAGCAGTCGTCACCATGTGGCGGAATATGTTTGAAGAGCAAGCCGTGTCAAGATCCAGCTGGCGATTTGCGAGGTGGGCTTTGCAGAGAATGCGCCTATGCCCACCAGCACTGTCCCAGAGGGGACCTTGGACTTCCGAGCAGGGGCCTCAGAGCTTGGCACGTCACGGAAAGCGCAGGCTCTTTCACGACAAAGTCCGGCTCTTGCAACCTTTGGCGCTGGACAAGCTTAGCAACGTAAGCCCACCAAGCCTGATTCACACAACTTGCGAAGCCTGTGGACCGAACTCCGCGGATTCCCGAGCTGGTAGACGGGCCGACGGAAAAAGGTGCTCAAAAAACAACTCCGCAGAATGCTATACCTCGCAGACCAGGAGTAAAAGCACGGAGCCGAAATCCGCGGCGCCAAACATCAGAAAGTGACAGGAACCAGGCTGAGGCCGGTAACGGGACACGACTGAGACGTTTACAGGGACCGCTGGAGACCAAACAGGAACTTGCCTTCTGCGGGAGAGGGCTGGGCTCTCCAGCGCGATAGGTGGATAGTTTCTGGATACTCACATGTCTCCAATTCCCAACAGTGAGCGCTACCCGCTACCTGTCAGGTGGTGTGCCTAACACTAAGAAACACCCAAGAATGCTGTCGGTGGAAAGGTATGCAAAACTGCCGCGAAACTCACGGCCGATCTTGTTGCGAGACCGGCGAATGCTGCAACTCAAACAGGCCCGGAAACGACTCGGGAAGAGACTTCCCCACCACAGCACGGGCAGAGGTGGCAGCTTGTTGAACAGCGAGTGTCTAAGCCCTTGCTTTACTGTTAACCCGGTGCCGGCTGTAGCCAGCTAAAAAGATGGGCCGAGACCATCACGTTCTCGGTAGTGCAAGGCACAGGCCTCACTGCAAAAATTCCTGCACGTCGCATAAGGCCAATCGTCTCCCGATCGGGCATGCAGATCGGCGACCCTTCATATATTTCATGACGGCGCGGGGGTCTGAGATGCTCCAGTCCGCAGGTGTGAAGTTCAGCTGCGCAGACACCATCTTCCGGGTCCTGGGAGAGTTGAAGAGATTTGGGGTGGAGAGAGGGCTTTTTCTCGGGACAGAAAGACACTATTGGCTGCCTTGCCTCAGGGGCGGTGCCGTGATTGCCGCCTCCATGATCCGCGCCATGGCTGGGAAGCTCATCTTGACGCTCTGGCCTGCCAAGGACCCAAGCCCTCCCATGATCGTCAAGGAGTAGCAGGCCTCATGGAACCACACAAGACAGCAACTAGATGCAGGACGTCTTCGCAGCTGGAATCGTGGAGGTCCCTGCACTTACTGTTCTGTGTTTTTTCCCCCAAGTCGGTCAGACTTTTGTTCATGAGGAAAGACAACTTGGTGTCATGACCGCATGGTTTACCGAAGCTTACCTCGGTGCCACTGAGCATATTGAAGATTCGACGTGACCTCGCAAGTCATTGGTGATCCATCCGAAAACTGTGAAGAGCTTGTGCGGAGCGGTGCTCCTCAAGTCATATTTGGTAGCAGGTTGATCTGCGGCCTATCCGCGTTGGACAGAATTTCACTGCATCAGCCTGAGAACATCTCGGGATGTTTCCGCCTCAGGACACGCCATGTTAGGAACTCCC